TTGATAGACAGGAAAAATTATAAAAAATTGACAGGTTTAGAGTGAAAGAGAATCTCACTAGTTAAGTTTTTTTTTATTCAGGAATTTGCACTTTTTATAAAAGTGTCCAATAATTATAAGAGAGAGATCTATTATATATACTTTATAAATTCAATTTATGGCAAAGGTGATATTTACCAAAAAGAACAGCTAAATAAATAGTGCTTAACTGAAAATGTAGGGTCAGTGTTTCCACTATACAGGGTGATTGAAAAGTAACTCCCTAATTTTTATAAAATGGGAGAGTCCATCATACATAAAAGAAAGAGTTACTTTTCAATCACCCTGCACATATCAATTTTCCATAACAAAATATGGCATAAGAGCAGGAATAGTGTATTTGACATTCCTCAAGGATCGTTTGACAGGACAGAGGTATCAGAGTTAATGCGACTACCTGCTAGTGGAAATAAATAAAATTGTGCATATCAATGATCATGGCCTGCATCAGGATGATGGACTGATGGTGGTGTTCAATAGGTGAAAACTAAGAGCATAACAATAAGAAAAGAGTTATTTACATTCATCAAAAGAACTTGGTTTTGATATCGAGGTCAATATGAACTTAAAAGTGGTTTAATAGCTGGTTTGGTTTGGTTTTACAGCCTATCAATCTCAATGGGTTATTTAATGCTAACAACTTTTTTTCCTGGTAATATTTTGTTTTGTCAAAATATATAGCTGGTAATATTTAAAAAAAAAAAAAAAAAACATTGTTGATATTAAAACCTTTTTTTTTTTTTTTACACTTTCATAATGCTTTTTACCTCAGTTTTGGGGTTAACTATTTGCCCATAGCTTGGACCCTAACATGTGCTACCACCCCCAGGTCAGGGTGGACCTGGGAACACCAGCAATTAAAATCAAAACTACCTGATCAGAGGCCTTACTGTTGGACGTGGATGTAGTTTATCATCATACCCAGGACAGGCTTAATAGTTGGATATTCAACTGGATTTGATGAATGACCAAAAGTTAAGTTGACAGGACAAGTTTTTGGGGTTTTTTTTTTTTTTTTTAAGTACAAACATTCAATAGAAAAACAGTTCAAAAGATTATTTTTGAGAATTATGACAGTTTTATAACTTTTGCTACGTATTTTTTTTCAATTGATTCAATAAATTTAAAACAGCATTTACACTTAATTACGGTTCAATTAAAAAAAAAAAAAAAAAAAAAAAAAAAAAATCAACAGAACAAAAGTTTAAAATTAAATACAAAAATGAATATAAACCAAGAAAGTGTCTGTTAAGGTGACATGAATGTTTATTACATGCCACCCACACATCCTAAAGCCTAATAAAACAAGGAAAGTGCAAGTGAAAAGAAAGGAAGAACTAGTAAAAAGTATTTGAGAGTGGTGTTTATTATTTAAAATTAAGAAAAATAATGGCCTCCCTACAGTCTGTACCAACCCAGACAGGAAAATTTCTTTTGTCTGATCTGTGTAAAAAAAAAAAAAAAAAAAAAAAATTCCAGGACTTTTCAAGGACTGAATTGGCACATGCACACAAAGTAAATGGTCATCAATTTAGAAAACACAAACTTTGTGATTTATCTTTTAATAGTTTAACAGATGAGATGTTTAAAAAGCTACAGTTGGTTCCAATAATTCATGCCACATGGAATCAGTTAAAAGCAGTGAAGATATTAAAGTGTTGAAGGCTAAAATACAGCCTGGTTGTTATACATTTTGTGTAGCATTCTATACAGTTTGGAGTTCTACACTTGAAAATTTCTGAATTACACAATAATTCTTACTGCTACACATTTCAACTATCTAGATTACACATGGTTTGCGAATATCAAAAATTTTTGATTGCTGCACATTACCTGTAAAGTTAAGCATAATGGTTTTAATGAACAGACCTACAAATACAAATTTCCTAAAAAAAAAAAAAAAAAAAAAAAAAAATGTACACATTTTAGCTACCCCTACTACTCATGGCTTTCATTGCACAGAACAATGATGCTAATATTTTCAGTTCATCTAGTTTAGCATTCAGTTCCTCTTCCAGTTTTGATATCTCTACGAACCTGTCCTTTGCAGATCTTCACATGGTATTGAGCTTTGAAATAAGTGTGAAGTTCTGAGTCTGTTCAACATTCTCCACATAGCTGTCAGCTAACTTCAGCAAATTTTGAGTGCCATTTTCAAGCTTGTATTTTTTGGTCTTCAGTTCTTCAGTTTCCATAAGCATGGATTTCCATTTTTGTCCAGCTGTTTCTTCCTGCTTCCTCTTTTCAGCCTCAAGGTATTGGTTTGCATGCTGTTCTGGTATTGGAAGCACTGCAAAGAAGAGCCTTAGCCATGGGAACATTCCCAGAATCGCCAACTGTGGCCAAAATAGTCTATTATAATGTACTGTGCAACCAGAGTCTGCTGTTTCATATTGTCAGTAGAAATTCCCTTACTAACTGAGAAACCTCAATCCACTGAGGCCTGTCCATGAGAGAGTACAAGCAATCTGAACAACTGATGATGATCAAACTTGCTGACTTGTTTTCTGGCCATCATGTGAGAAAGACATCTTTTTAGACGGTCTTCTGTGGCAGATTTTTTCCCAAGGTTCAGCCATGCAAGTGAGCTCATAAAAGAGTATCCAAGGGGAAAACTTTGCCAGAAGTTTCTCACTGATAGTGATGAACATTGTCTTTTGGTAATTCTTCACACAAACAGACCTTTGTTGATAAGTTTCCTTTGTTGGATAAATTTTGCATAGCCATATCTGCTAGAAATCTACACTTCATCTTTGTAGCATCTTTGTGCATATTTGGGTTGGACAAAATTCTTACATTTAGCTTGGAAAAAGTAATTTTCTTCTTAATGTGCTCTTACTTTACAAAAGGACAGTTTCATGATCATGCTAAAAAGAAACAGATACAAAAATCTGCAGTTTCACAGGAAATAAAATGTCATTCACGGTTGACAGTACTGCAGAGGAGGACTTGGTCTGGGGACATTTTTCTGTTTTTTTTTGTTTTTGTTTTTTTTTTTAAAATCAAGTTTACAAATTTGGTAAGATCTGGCCAAATGTCTAGGAGTTGTTCAAATGTTTGTACATTTTCTAGCCATCTATGGCAGAAATACAAAAATACTTTTACTTTTGACAAGGTTAACAGATAGAAATTTTAATAAAGACAATTAAAAAAAAAAAAAAAAAAAAAAAAATAAGTTTAATATATTTCATCATTTTTTTTCCCCACACTTAACAAGTCATTATTAGCTTGCAAACTTTAATATTCTTATTGTTTCAAAGACACATTTTTTATCCTATACTAAGATACATCAAAGACATTTTCTAGTCTATCATTCTTCCCATCTATATTTTGTGTTAAATTTGATTCTCAAACTTGTTATTTTTGCCAATAATTTAGACAAACAGTTTACACAAAGACACGGGTAAAGTATCTATTTTTTAGCATGAACTCACCCACCAGCTTTTTACTTTTGAAATTGATATGTTAATAAATTTTCAATTGTACAAATTTTAAAAAAACAAATATTTCGAGATTCTACTAAAATGTATTTTTTTTTATTACTGTAATTTATTATTTCCCTTTTAAGTACAAATTCAAAGAATGTGAATTAACTTATCTTTGACGGAGATGTTGACTTGCCCAGACAACTTTTATCTTTGCTTTTCTTCTTTTTGAGTAAGGATAGCAGCTAGGAGAAGACACGCCTTCATATTCTCCCTTTCAAGGAAACAAGCTGCTATTCACAATTATTGAATAACTGCCAAATATTACTGATGACTTAAAATACATTTTCTTTAAAGGACAATTTTAGCTTTAAAAAAAAAGCCAGATTTCTAGGATTTGGCATTTTGACTTTCATGAATTTGTTGGTTTACCGCCACCTAATTTTTGAAGCTGCTACTAGGAGACACTCTCCGGACTATAAATACTTGGTAATGTTTTTCTCGCTCTCTTGCTTTTTCTGCTTACACATCAATGTGTAAATTTCTCATGGAGAACACACTTTTCCTTGGGAAACACAAACAAAACACACACACATGTATGCACATTCACTCGCTACACATACTTTGGACCATTAAGTTTTCACATTCATTTGACACACACATCATTGTCTATGTCACTTGTATACCTTTGCTGTCAATACATTATCATTTGTTTGTACATATATATTGGTTCTTGTCATTTCTTTACATAGTGTTTATGCGAACTCATGTGTGCCATGTTTGTTGTGGGTATTTCAGGGGACACATGTTAATCTCTCAATGCATACACCGACCAGCAACAAATTGAGAAAAAGAAATGTGTGGGCAGCCCACTTTAGAAAATGCCAGGACTTTTCCAGGAGCTGTTGTGCTATTGTCGTTTTTCCTGGATTTTTCAAGCCCTGGAAAAGGCCCTGTCAATTTTCTTGGACATTTCAAGGTTTCCAGGATCTGTACAAAACCTAAGTAAAGAGTTTGCTTGGATTTGTGGTGAAAATTATTCATATTTTCACACAAACCTAAAATTTTTCTATCAAATCTAATCAAAGTACCAAATCTTGTTAAACTCAAAGTCTTCAGATAATATATATATATATATATATATATATATATATATATATATATATATATACACACACACAGCTGAGGAAAAGTAGGACAGACTATGCAATAATTTTGGTTAGCAAACATAGGACAACTGAAATGAATTTCAGACAATTTACAGATTAAAGAAAGAGGTGAGGGGGGGGCAATTAAAGGATGTGAGAAGCCTTTACCACCTGCATGTCAACAAGTTCTAATTCTTTTATCAATCACTTACAAAGATTCTAATTCTCTCAAAATTAAGAAGTAAAGATGCTTAAACATAAGCTTCAAAAGTTTTCCTTAAAGTTTTTAACAGTGCTTCAACTTTTCCTTTTGAAGTGTTTAAGTTTTACAAATGTAATATAAAAACTATATAAAATAATTTTTAAAATGATTTACCAAATTACCTACCTTTGGACTAAGGTCATAAAAGGTGAAGAATTTAAATTTCAGCAGCAAAAGTTCTTTCTCTCTAATTCCTTGTTCCATCAAGGAAACTGAAGAATCTAGCCACCTAGGGAAAAAAAAAAAAAAAAAAAAAAAAAAAAACTTAATTTTTACAATAAATTGTGGAAAAGTTTGCCAAGAATTTTTCCAACAAAAACAAAAAAAAAAAAATAAAAATAAATAAAATTACAAATATTTAAAGGCAGGCAAAACAAATAAAATTTCTGGATATTTATTTAGGAAAAGATGATAGGGAATTTAAAACAGCATCTTGTCACAGAATTTGATTTTCCACCCACAATATTACTTTTTATAACAAAACTGGGTCATTATAATCAGAGTTGAATAAATTACCATTTGTAAAAAGAGATTCAGATAAATTATTACATTAAAAATAAAAGTATTAAAAAAAAAATAAAAAAAATATATATATATATATATATATATAACAAGGAAATAAAATATAGCAAAAATTGAAGGACATCTTTTATAACAGTATTAGAAACAGTGTATCACTCCTGCACAATTTTATTCTTAATTTCTCAGCTACAATAATTCCCTGCAAGAGGATAAATGTAAAACTTGATAAATGATGACATATATATATATATATATATATATATATATGCATGCCATTTTACATTTCTACCAATTTCTGGTCAGCTCCCTTATGTTCAAACACTTGTTATTCCATAACTACAATGAAAACCTAAAACAGCTATAACAGAGCATGTTCTTAAAAATTATTATCACAATGGAATGCAGATTTTATCGCACTTACAATAAGTTTTTTTGTGTAATTTACCTCTGAAGATGAAAAGTACTTCAGTTATAAAAAAAAAAAAAAAAAAAAAATGTTGCATTTCTTGATGAATTTCATCTTAAGAAACTGGAAAGGATCAGCATAAAAATAAGTAGACAATGTCTATTATTCAATGAAACATGTTTGAATGATGATATGCTGTGCATGCACACACACATATATATATATATATATTATACACGCAATTTATTATATATATTATTTATATTATATACGCGCCGTACTTATTGGAAAGCACTCAATATCAGTGATAGAGATAATATATTTAATTGGACTGATGCGAGTTTGTGACCCTAGGTTTCACGCTTTTGTGATTGTCAAACAAGCTGATTAATTTTTAAATTTATATAAAAACACATATATGCAACCCTATATAAATCCAAAATTTAAAAATTAATCAGTTTGTCTGATGATTGCAAAAGCATGAAACCCAAGGTCACAAACTCACATCAATCCAATATATATATATATATATATATATATATAAATAAAACACTGTACTTCTATAGAACAGTCACCTTTAGCCTTAGCCCCTGCATTCCAAATGTAAGTTCCTTTCACAGATTTTTTTACAGTATCCTATTATGTTGTGGTTTTAGTAAAATCCATTTTTATAATTGGCTCTTTTCTTTCCTTTACACATTTTTTGTATGATAATCATTCTATTTATTTTGAGTTCCTTAGCCATCTAATGTGTATGACACTCATTTAAAGCAGTCAACTTGCTTTAGTCAGCAAAATATTCAGAATAGTATCTCATTTAGAATTCTGAATAGTTTGTGAGAAAGGGAAAAATATTTCCTCTTAATTTCAGAAAAGAGGAAATAACCTATTTGAACTGGAAGATAATTTTTCTGCTTCAAATAGCAAGGTTTAAAGGAGTGCCTTGACTTGGGAAGGCGGTATAATTTTGATAGTGGGCATTCATACTTGAAAGTCCATTGTGCACTAAATGTAAAACAAAATATTCTTTGTAAAATTTGTCCCATTCAGTAAAATTTATTTGTACTTGGGGTCCTCCTTGGATTCTAAAAATTTGTTCCATTTTTTTGTGAAATTATGAATATAGAAATGGGTAAAGTTTCAAGCCACACATCTTGATTAAAAATACAGATTTTAAAATTGGGTCATCAGTGATCAGTCTCGGTTATAAACAGGTTTTTGTATAAAATCTTTTACACGGAGATGGATTTTTTGCTTATATTTTTTTTTTTTTTTTCACTATTTATTAGTAGTTTTATGCCCAAGAGGTGGAATGTGAATTAATATTATTGAATGTGATTTTATCAACAATTTTGAGAAATATCATCAACAATTTTGAGATTCATATATATATATATATATATATATATAAGAGAGAGAAATTAGCTACACTATATGCCTCGAGATTTACTTAAAAAAATTAAAAAGGTTCAAAATTTCAGCAGCTCCCCTCCCCTCTTCAATGTAGTTACATCAACATAAATAGTTCAATGCAGGCCAAAATGAGTTGCATGAAAATTTTTTACACTGTCATTAATTTATATATATATATATATATATATATATATATATATATATATATATATCTCAGTGGGGAACTGGCTGGTTACATTCAATGCCTTGAAAACCAAACTAGTCACATTCCATCATTGCCAATCAAAACCCCAAACAATCATCAGTTACAATGAATGGATGTACAGTTGAGGAACCCCCATGCTTTGAGAGACTATTAGGCCTTAAACTCAAACCAGTCCTCAAGTGAAACATACATGTGATCCATCGCTAAAGATGCAGGTAAAATAGTCGGCTTCCCATACTGCTCTAGTAAGTACTTGACACCTCATGCTATACTTTACAAGAGCCAAATCAGACTTAAAATGGAGTACTGCTGTCATATTTGGGTGGGAGCTGTCCAGCCCTTACTTCTTAGTCTCAATAGAATACAAAAGTGTCTACATATCTTTGTGGGTAACAAATTATTTTCCACCCTGCAGTTCCGAAACAAACACTTCTACCATAGATTAATAAAAACAATAGTTTGGATCAGATTTAAAAGGACCTACCCATATAATCAGTTTTCACCAGATATTAATATTAAGTAGAGTACGGAGAAACATTATTTATATTCAGGCATTGACATCACAGATGAAGAAAGGAACATTACAAGGGAAAGAGAGATTTAAAAAAGAAAAAAAAAAAGTTTTGCTTCCTTTTATAGAATTAAATGCTTTTTTATTCAAATAATAATTTAAATTCAGCTACAAATCAAATATTACCAATTTTTTTTTGAGGCAGGGAGGGGATGAAAAAAGTAAAATCCTATGCCCTACCCTTTGTTGATTCTGGCCTTTTCTGCATATGTCTTTGGACGCAACAACATGTTAAAAGCTTCTTTAGTTGATATATGAGGACTGGTCATCAGCTCCATTTCATCAGTGTTTAGGCTGTGCAAAGAACCCGCAGTGTAGCTGTTGTTGGCATTGAATGTGCTGTACGGAGAGTTGGACGACATACTAAAGCCACTAAGTGGAGTATTAGGAGAGAGAGTGTTCTGGAAAGAAAAGAAAAAAAAATTACACTTGTTCAACAGTTCCTGAAAAAGCAACTTTAACTTCCATTAAGTTATTCATAGTTTATAGCCTAACATTAGTTCAGGGAACACAGTATTGAACCAATTCACAACTGTATTAATGGTTCGAGATATTAGCTTGTTAACCATAGCTCCCCAGAGTGTGTGTGTGTGTGTGAATGTGGGTAGGGGGCACATACCAACCTCTGTGGGTTATTTAATGCTGAATTCTAAACATTTTTCGTACACCATTATATTTTTTTATTTTTGGGGATAATTATGGTTTAGTGATAAGTCTTACTAATTAACCCATAGCTGGGGGAGAAGAGGTGGATTCATACCCTTTCCCAAGAGTATTTGTACATAAGTGAATATAACAAACATGACTGGAATTAGAACTCAGCTCCCGATTAACAATTCAGAGTCATTATCCATTACACAAACACCCAACTTTCCAGCATTCCCAAGCAGTCACCTATTTGTACTGAAAAAGGCTCAATGTTGCTTAACTTTAGAATTGTACAGGAACTGGTGTTTCAATGTGATGTGTGTGTGTGTGTGTGTGTGTGTTACAATCCTACAATAATTTATGTCTGAATTGCTGGGATGAGGAGTATGTTATTTATATGTAGACTATTGTTTGTATCTTTATCACGTTTTGACAGTTGTGACCTCTGGTCTTCGACAAATTTACCATGATTAATGTTAAATTGGTGTTGTGGATCCTTCCTACCTCACTTCTCTGTAAATGGACTCTTCCTCTTGGGGGCTCTATATATGAAGTGAATTATTAGGGGACCTTATGCAATTGTGAACTAAGATACTTAAACCATTTGCTCTTTAAAGCCCACAACTTAAAAACTGGGTTCCTCACAAATGGTGTAATAGTTAGCAAGCTAATCTCCAATCCATTTCTTCTGTAGAGTGATCATTACTGGTTGCTCCACACTTTTGGCCTTGTGTCAGATCGGGTAAAGTTAATAAATATCTATGGGTGCTTCCATGTTAGCAAGCAAGTATTAATTAATTGGATATGCAGATATAGTGTAACAGTTATCAGCACAGTGAAACTGGCAATCAGAATTCTGGTCTAAATGGTTTTATTGAATTTTGTAGTAATGCTCTTTGAAAAGGTACAAAACTATTTCTTTCTCCAGTTGTGTGTTAAATAGCATGGTAGACTGGGCTTATTTAGCCTTAGGTGGCAACCAGTGTAAGAGAAGGATAACAATTCCAAATAATGGAGAAACCAGTCCATTTAAAGCAAACTTAGCCAACCATAGATAAAGAAAAAAAAAGGAATCTGGGAGAATAGTTCACTTATTTTAGCACTTTGATCGATAATGTTCTTAAGTGATATGACATTCATTAGGGAAAAAAATAATAAACAAAAACAAAACATTATGCCTGACTGACTGCCTGAGTTTATGGATTTTAGAAGTATTAAATGTAATCTAGTGACAATATACCTAAATAATATATTCTAAGTTTTTACCGATAGAAATTTGCGCATTAAAAATTAAGCACAAAATAAGCTTTCAGATTTATTCTGTTCATCTAGTTTTCTAAAAAGGAATTATTTTTAACACAAGAAATTACATAATGGCAATAAAATGTCAATTGGAAATAATATTAATAACTAGAGCTGAGCACTTCAGCATGGAATGATAATGGGTAACAATAGTTTGGTTAACCATTATATAGTTTGATCCTCACTGGGTGCTACATACTTGTGGTCTTATGTCGAAATAATCTCAGTACATAAGTTAATTTCATTGTACATGGTTAACAGAATGTGTGACGTGATGTAAATTTAAGTAACTAAAACTTTTTTTAATAAACTGATACATTCATATTTATCCTATCAATGTTTTAATGTTTTTAATGAAGATTGTTGGTATAAAGTTATTGGTCCCCATCAGATTCCATAATAATAGTAAGAAGCTGACAAGTCACAAAAAGTCCTTAATCTGACTGCATTAAATCAAACATTGTGGTATGCCAGTAATGAGACTGTCAAGGAATACAGGTAGAGATTTGGAAGAATGTCATTCTTTTCCTAAGAGGAAAAGGAAAGTGTATGCAAAAGGAAGCATATACAGCTTCAGGTGGACTTACAACTGCTCAGCAATTGCATTCCATATGGTACAATCATGCAAAATCTAAGAAAGCATCATTAATCTACAGATGAGCACCACCTTTGAACATCCCCCTCCACCCCAAAAATTATATACAAATAACTAAGCAATAAAAAGTATGATGTTGGTTTACAAATTTAAAGACTCCAAGTGACCAATAATTTATAAGTACAATTTTTAAATTTTTTTTTGCCTGCAATGTGTGGCTGGTGATTTTGGAAGATAACTATAGATTAAAGGAAAAAAAAAAAAAAAAAATTTGCTGGGGTACAAGATGAAACGTTAGAACAAAAAAAAAAAAAAAAAAAAACAAACAACCATTTACCCTGTTCAGCATTTATTGACAGAACACAGGCACAGATGAAAAGTTGTTTTTGGTCTTTAAGATATGAACAAGAGCCTAAATGAAAACTTAAGTGCTTGTTCAGGTTTCAAAGATTAAAAAATAAGATAATTAAATCACCGGCTTTTCATTAAGCATAAAAAAAGCTTATGGAAAGAGGAGATCTAAAAAATTTATTTCAGATAATAAAAAGGGACTTTCCAACACTAATTATAGACTTGAAAACTTAAATACTAATTTTTGATATTCAACTGCTTGCCTGAAATTCATATTTAAAACATTTCATGCCTGCCTACTTATACAATACATGAAAGGGCATCTTAGCAATCTTTTTAATTGCAGTTACGGTAAAGATTCTGTTCAAACTATTCTGCTGAACTCTTTAACATTAGTCAAGTGAATCTAATATTTTAATTATGGTTTAGTCAAGATTTATCAGCCTATCAAATGAGGAATGTTGATCATATAATGGACCAAATCTGAAATGCGGTTCAATGAAAAATTCGGATGATTTAACAGTAAGGAAAATTCTCATTTAAAGTTTTCCTAATAATGCTTTAGTTTGGATATTTAACGTTCTTTTTTTTTATAAATATATTATTTGCCAATGAGAAGCCAAGTCCTAAAGGGATGTGGCATATAGAAGTATTTGTCCCTCCCCCATCTCTGACCATGGAAACCGAAGTTTGTACAAATGCCTCCATAAACAAATATTTACTTCCTTGTAAATACATCAGAAATAACTTCCACATAATGGTAAGACATTAGTGACAATGGTGTCTTGATCTAGCTAATGCCTTACAAAAATGTTGGAGGTATTTCTGCTATACCCTGTATGAACAGGAGTCTATAGCATAGACTATGTAATTTATAAATGAAGACAGATTTTCATTAAAAACCAAAATAATAATATTCAATGACTAGAGAATCTATAACAGAGAAATGATCCTGCCTGCAAATTATTTAAAGTTATGGTATAAAGTGAATATAATGAACTCAATTGGAATTGAAACACTGCTCTCCCATTAACAATTCTGAGCCATATTATTTAAATAATATATATATATATATATATATATACACACAATGTCATTTGCAGACAGTACTGTATCACAGATCAGTGGAACTAGACATCCAAATGCCTCAAGCCCAGATGTTTTATTTTCCTCTTTAACAAATGTGACAACTTTAATATTTAGCACTATATCATCTTTAAATAAATCTTTCACTTTTTACCATTTTTTTTTATTTTTTTTTTACCATTAGTTTTATATTTTGGTTTTAACTAACATTTTATAATCAGATACAGAAGACCCTTTACTTAGTCCAACAAAAAGCAAGATTCAAATCACTAGTAGACTCAAATACTATACAAACGTGTTGCTTATGAATAGCCAGGTCTCCTCCCTATTAACCCAACACAATACCATGTTAAAAAAATTTTTTTTTAAAAAGTTAAGTCATTTCCATGTTTCAGTTTTCCCAAGATGTCTAGTGAAGCATGGGAAGAGGAATGGTACATTTAACTGAAAGCAACATTCTTACGCAGCTAATAATTAATTAGAATCAAGAGGAAGTTTAACGAGTGTTTCTTCAGACTTTCCTAGAAAGAAAGGAAAGAGAGAGAGAGAGAGGGAAAAAAAAAAAAAAAAAAAAGAATTATTACGTGTGGTGAATGGGTCATTGGACTGCGATTGCCAAGACGGTCGAGGCTGTTAGAAGAATTGTGAGGACTGTTCCAGTTGCCAGGGCTGTGTGGTGCCTCATGATGATGCTGATGGCGCTTGTTACGCAGAGTCACAAAAGTATTCTTCTTTAGATCTTCCTTTTCTAGTTTCCTCATCAACGAAAGTTCTTCAGGATGACGTATGCCTGAAATCAAACGTACAGTAAGAAGACAGTTGAAGAGAATTTCAACTCATGTTGATAGCAAATACATCATGCCATAAGTTTCTAAGAATCTCATTTCTGTCAAAATTTCTTCAGACTAATGAAATCTTAAATAATTCTCCAAACTGAATAATCTTGCAGTTTAGTACATGAAAGTGCTGTTTTAAGTAGAGTGGGAGGCAGGGGGGATAAGATAAGATAAAAAAAAAAAAAAAAAAAAAAAATTTAATATAAAGAAAGACATTAAAATTATGAAACACTAATATTTTTTTTAAAGTCAAATGAAATGCCTACACATACTTGTAGAAATTTCTTTATTAAAGCAACACAGAAAGCCAAACGTCTATTCCAAAAGTTAAACATTAAAAACATGAACATTTCGTTAAAAACACTATAAAAATGAATTAATGGATTTATTTTTAATCCAACAATTTTTATCATTTTAAAGATTATTAGTGGATACTCTTATTTGAAATAGATGCCACAGTTTTATGTTTTTTTTTTACTTTAAACAGTTTATTTATATGCAGAGCAGTCAAGCCAATAGAGATAAATACGCAGTTTAAAGTAAAAATGAAAGTGGGGCATCTATTTCAAGAGTATCCACTAATAACATTTGAAGTATATATATATATATATATATATATATATATATATATATATATATATATAGTGCTGAACTTCAGTGTAATATCAATCCTCATATGGCAGTGAATGTGGATTAATTTCCTCACATAAAGATATTTTAAGCAACCGATCTGGTTCTACAGAAGGAGGCTGAACATACCATTGATGAAACACAAGCAAAAAGGATATTTGTACTTTTAATCAGAAAGGTGAAATTTCTGGGACATAAGGAAAGACCTTAGAGAATTTGGCTCTCACAAGATGTTAAAAGGCAGGGGCTGAGAAAGCAGTGGGTAATAGGTAGTAACTTACCTAACAAGCTTGTTTAAATGAATGGCAATGTTCTGAAGGGACACAGCACATGCGACAAGAGTTGTTACATATATACATAAATACTTAAGATCTACATGAAAAAAAAAAAAAAAAAAATTCTAGCAAAAATCAAATGTCAGATTTTTTTAATAAAAATTTCAAAACTTATTTACAAATGAAAAAAAAAAAAAAAAAAAAAAAAAAAAAAAAAAATCTATTATCCCCCACTTAATTCTATGAAATTTTAATTAAAATTTCAGCCTCTTCATATTTATATGAGTTAAAAGCAGGACTCCTTGGAGAATTTAAATCGTTAGTTTGTTTTTGCCAAACAGAAACACCATTTACTGAAAAATCTGCTCTGAACCGTAAAATAAATGCAATAAAACTATGTTATTTAATTAGAAAATCTTTTAATTGCTTTTATAAATAAAACATTAAGGGCACTATTGTTTAAGATTTTTTTTTTATGATAAATAATGAATTTTTTTTTTTTTTTAATTAGAAAAATTTATTAAGTTTAACATCTTAAAATTCTGTATTAATTTCAGCCTTTTAGATGATATTAAGTGAAATCTATATTTACTAATCATAAATAGAAAAGATTAATGCAAATAATCAAACTGCAATATTTTAAAAAGAATTTTGAATTTTTTTGTATGTGTATAAACATGCCAATTTTTGTAAGTACAGGTGACCATACAAATGTTATCAGAGCATAAGAGCTACAACAATAGTAAATTTAAAGTCAACATTTCTAAAATTCAATAAAACAGATTATGGAGAATATTTCCCTAAGCTTTTGAGATGACCAAGTACTTAAAAAAAAAAAAAAAAAAAAAAAGTGCTCACATCATTTTCTTCAATTATGTTTTACAGAAAGTCTCTGCAGAACATTAGACCTGTCAACATAGCTACCGACAGGTTAAAAAATACATTTTTGCAATATTTTAAACCAGTAAATATTTCTTTCAAATCAGATTAATTATACTTTATATCAGCTAATATTTATTAAATAAAGAATTACGTTGCAATGAAAGACAACTAAAAAAGGGGCACTAATCAGCTATTTTAGCAAAAAATAAAATAAATCCTTCCCGTCAATGTAAATTAGTTTTTGAAATATGACAAAGTATTTTGATTATTGGAAATATTAAATTTAATCTAATAGCTTGAAATTAAGACTAAAATAAAAACTTCAAGAAAGATTTTTCATTTTTAAAAATTAAATTTAAACCTTAGGTATCACTTTTTCTTTTAGGTCTCTAATATAGAATAAAGCTGATCATTTAATATTTACATTCCACTGAAAAAATGCTTTTTGAAATATTAATTTAAGAGGTTTTTCTCTTAAGTAAAAGGTTGAACATTTTGGTAGCCCCCTTAGAGAAGAATTTATAAGAGTTTGACATTTGTGGAGTGTCAATCAGTACAATATTAACCAGATTCAAATCTCAAGAGCATCTCATACACCCTTCACATGCAACTCCCTATAACATCTGTATAGGGAGTTGCATACAGGGAACATTTAGCATTCATTGAGCAATTAATGTTATTGGTTGAAATTTATAAAATCCTCTTAAGTATTTCAGGAAATTAGACTTACATTCACTAACATTGATGGGAATTTCATTCCATGCCATTTGTTTAAACTAGTGTGGAAAGTAAACACTAATATTTTGCCTTCTAGTTTCATGCTACCTACTGTTATTAGTCAAAACTACATCAGTAGCAATGATCACAAAAACATTAAAAATATAACAATTTAAAAATCTTTGAAGTTTTAATGGCAAGAATAAAAAAGGTTAATCATAAAAATTACTTTTGCATTTAAAAAATTTCTAGACAAACTGTTTTGGCTTCCAAATTAAATTTGTGACACCATGACTGCCATTAAATTTAAAGTTACTTGTATGATCGAGACTGTTTAAAAAAAATCAGATGGTGATCAATGTAGAATAATGAGAAAAAGATTTCTGAAGAACTCAAACCAAGTCCAACAAGGTGATTTTGAATTTCAAACTTAAATTCATCTTCAAGCAAAACTGAATGATAACTGATTTAGCACCCAACTAAACACAAGACTGACCATTTGGAATAAAAATTGGAATGTTTTGATTCTCAACAATCAGGTTGCTGGTAAAATTTAACACTAAACTAACAGTGCAAATTGACTTTCTTGGTAAGAAAAATAGAGAAAGCAAGCAACTTAAAGATTAAGTTGCTTGCTTTCTCTATTTTTCTTACTCATCAAGAAACTCTTCAGTTTCCTTCAAAGTTTCTATACTTTAGAGTTAGAGATTAGCTTTACATGTGGAGAAAAATAGATTTAAATAAAAGAAATTTAGCTAAAGCCAAGTAAGAATATAAGAGATTGCAATGAAATTGCAGAAAAATTCTTGTAAAGAATGCTCACTATGGTTCAAATGGCTAGCATTGGAGCCAAAATCCATTAGTTAAAAATTCAGTACTCCACAAATATGGCCTTTTACTAACAAAAAAGAAAAAAAAATGGTTAGCTAGGTGGAGCATTCACATTTTGGATTTAAAAGAGACAGGATTTACAAGCTTTTCAATCTTATATGAAAAAGAATTTAAGTTAATTTTTTAAACAAAGGATTTAATTCTCCTTGCTAAAATTCCTTTGCTAAATGAAGCAACTATGAAGCTTCTCAATAGACAGGACAGCTAATTATCAAGTGTATGTCACAAAGTAAAAACAAACAGAGAAGAAGAAGAAGGAAAAAAAAAAAAAAAAAAAACACCCTGAAGTGTCCCTTTTTCACTTCGAAAACAAAAGACAAACTGTAAATGATTAGATGTGTAAATCATCCATCAGCTAAATAGAGTCTTGTTAATTTTTTTTTTTAATAAACAACCATAAGGCAGACAGAATATCGCTAACATTGAAGAGATGTGTATTGCAACAGTCATCTAGGAGGGGGTGAGGTAAAAAAAAAAAAAAAAAAAAAAGTTACTATGGCATAACATCAGTGACATTTCCCTCATGAGCATTTACAAAGGCAGCTGCTATTCGACAAACCCAAAAAGATAGGCCAGAGATAAACAGAAGTGAAGCACCTTAATGAATTCTGACACTTATTTTACAGACATGCTTCATAACAGCTGAGCATTACGTTTAATCTTTTCTCAAGTCAAAATTAGCCAAGAAGTTGGGTGAATTTTTTTTTTGTCACACTGGGAAACAAATTGATAAAAGATGCATCTTACAGACAAAAACAAAAGAAAATTATGAATTGAAAAGGAAAAATTCTTGAAAATTCATTCCAGACCATCTCTGGGATTTTTTTTTTTTTTTACAATGATGTTCAACCTGTACAAGGCCCAAGAGCCATTCGAGGTAGAGGGTTACAGAATAAGAGGGATATGTGGTAAAAATAACTGTTAACACTACATTTGAACAGGTTAAGATTTTAGCAATATGGGAAGCATCCTGTTGGGAGTTAGTTCCACAAAGAAGTGGTTCGTGGGAAGAAGCTACTAGAGTGGAATATGAAAGGAATGAGAGTGATTCACTACAATGTGCATGGCAGGTCTTAGCTTTGAAGATTACAAATGGTAGAACTAAAGAATGTAGTTTGAACACTTTCCAGGGAAATAGAAATAAAGCAGCAATCTAAATAAAAGGTTTTCAGCAAACAAAACATTTTTAGTAAGTTTCAAATCTGGTCTCCAGTATATTTTGATAAAATTGCAATACAAAATATTCTTTATAGTATCAAATTGTGGCAAACATGGACAAACATGCCTATAATAAGACACTGTCAAAAGTTAAACATTGACATTGCTTTTTTAATTACCTTCACTCTTCAGCAATGTTTATTCTTTTAAAAAGCAATGATTAGAATGTTAATAAAATCTAAATATATGAAAACAAATTTATACATTTTGTTCTTCAAAATTGACAAAAAACACTATTAAATTATTTATTTAAACTTATTTATTGGAATGTTTGGTAAAACATCGGCTAATTGATTCAAACTTTGTAAAATGTTAAGTTGGTTCACATGTTAATACTTTAG